ACTTTTAGTGTATTAAAAATTGCAAGAAAACTACGCATTTCTCTCATGGAGACTGGCAATGTCGGGGAGCCAGTAAAACAACTTAGAGGCCTATTCCCTTTCGCTAAACATGCATGTTCATGAACTACGTATGTTTCGTAACATATGAGCCTATTCACTTTCAATTATTTCGTCTATAGACGCATGCGCTTGAATAATTTCTTAAACATCAATGTTTATAAACATCATCGGTTTTAAAATGTCTATTCCGTTTCCAAAATTCGATGTTTGGTGAACATACATGATGTTTGAAAACGTATGTTTACGAACGCTTCCCTGCTTAAAATACCCCATAGAGACCCTGTTCAAACCGATAGATATTTGTATCGGGATGTATGGTGTTTCTATAGGGTGTATCGGTTTGTATAGGACCCGTAGTTGAGATTTATGGTTGTTCTATAGGGATATCCACCATTGATTTATTTGCTATCGGTTTCAATGGGGAAAATACACATAAATGTAGAAATTAGTTTTTTCCCTATAGGACCCTATAGGTTTTAATAAAATTTTGTCAAATGTTTTATGGTTGCTCTATAGGGATATCCCTATATATCCTTCATTGAGTTATTTTCTATCGGTCTCAATAGGGAAAATGTAAAAGTTATGGTGTGCCTATAGGTAATTTCCTATACATTTTCTATCGGGCTGTATCCGGAAAAACCCATGGACAAATGCACATATAGAATCCGGTAGCGCCCGATAGATTATTTTGTATAGGTCTCTATGGGGTATTTTAAGCAGGGTTGCCTAAGAGGTGCTGTTAGCCAATATTTGAGGTTTTTTATCTTGCATTCATCATAAATTGCGGCGATGTTTGGTACAGTATACAGTACAGTATTATTATCAAGCATAGTAATTATGGATTAATTACTTTTTCATAATTAATACCTAATTAATTATAATTATTAATGATAAATAATTATTAATAAATGAGAATAGAACAAATCAATTCACACCAAACAAATAAAAATATATTTTTTGGTAATTTTAAAAATATGTTTATGATTTGTTTTTTAATTATTAAAATGTATTTCCTAATTATAATACCAGAAAACAAATTTTGCTTTACTGATTTTTTAATATAATAAATATTCATTTTATTATAATAATAATAAATACAAACAGAAAATTAAAAAAATCTGAGTGTGAAGAGAGAATTTGGGGAAGGGAAGGTCAAGACTTATATGTTACAAGGGGGGCAGAGTGTCTAAAAACGACCTCTAAAACTATATATATTGGTAGGATAAAAAATAACTGGGAAAAATATATTTTATTAAAAAAATACAACAAATATAAAATATCAAATACCTATGTAATATTATTACTCAAAAATATAGACAAAATATTAGTCAAAGAAAAGTATACCTAACTAATAAAATATGCATCTAAAAAATCTTTTTGTTCACAAGGAGCTAAAACTTTTTGGTTTAATTTTAAAATCTTTTAGGTTTTATCAATACCTTGTAAAACCTCTACACCTTCACTACTCGTCAGAGTTTGAGTTGAACTTTCTCTTTACTAGTTGTTTTTAAGTTCATTTAATATATTAAATATCACCAATAATTTTTAAAATAATTATCTAACACAATTTTAGTTTACGATCTGCGACTTTTAGGTTATAAAACAAAGATACTCTCTGTCCTAGAAACATTTATCGCTGTTCAGAAAGATTCAAGGTCAAGACTCTCAACATATGAGAAACGGAATAGCCTTAAACATAGGTAATGTTTGGGTTGTCGTTGGGTGAAAATACATGTTAAGAAATCAATGTTTACGAACAGCAAGAAAGGGAATATGCCTCTTAGTAAGTCAGACTAATAGCAAGATTTGGGAGTCTTCTGGAAGAGTTAATAAGACTTTTTAAGACTTTTAGCAGAGAAATGGTAGGTACCTATAGCGATTAAAATAATAAATAAATTATTCAAAGATGTTGTATTTGGTTATTACAAAAAAGCACAATGAATGTTGTAAGGCTGATAAAAATACGGAAGCAATGTTAACAATATAGGTAAACAAACTTTATTTTCATTGAACAGAATAAAACAGTTAGGAGATACGTTTGGTTTGTGTACATACAGATCCCTTGTTGATTAAGTACATATATAAGGTATACTAACTATAACAATTCTTCTCAACGCATTGGCATGATATGGTCGACAGTCGAACACAGACTTATTCTGACTTTTTCCGACTTAATAAGTCTTATTTTGAATTTTTCCGACTTAATAAGTATTATTCAGACTTTATAAGAGAAAGTAAGACTTTAAAAACTCTTATTAAAACTTTCTCTGAGAAAAATTTCCACAAGGGTAATAATAATAAATATAGCAGTAATAATAATAAATATGGTAATAATAAGTGTTGTCACTGAAAAAAAACAGTCTTGTTTTTTTTCAAAAAAAATGTTTTTTTTCAAGAAAATGGTCAAAAATACTCAAATTATATTAAGTGACAGGATTTTCGAAATGTCACTGCTGAGGAAAGAATTTTTGGCACATTCTGTCACTAGAAGAATATTAAATACTAATTATAGTTTCTTATTTACCATTAGTAATATTCTTAAACAAATTGTTTAACGTTGTTGGCTTTCGCCCTGAGCCTTCTCTTTTCGGCATTTCTACCAACTATGCATCAACCTACTATAAAGCCGCAGGTCTTAACTCTTCTATTATAATACCGTATAGACTATACGATATGCTGAGTCAGCATTGCCGACAGCGAGGCGCCCTTTTACCATACGTGGGTGGGGATGAAAAAAAACAACTTTTGTTTTTTTTCAGTGAAAAAAAACATGTTTTTTTCACGAGTTTTTTTTCAACTGAAAAAAAAAAACGTTTTTTTTACAACACTAGTAATAATAAATATTTACACCCTTTGCTAAAACTTAGTACTACCTAAATTCTTTAAATAATTAGAAAAAGTATAGTGGCTATTTCCATTAGGATGAATTACTTCACTCGCCTTTATATTTCATCCTAATGGAAATGGCCAACTTTCCCAATCGTTGAACAATATACTATTATTGGATAAAGGAAACATTGTACAATGACTAAGAACTAACACTAAGAAAAGTTTGGGAAAACAAAATGACATATAAGCCTTTTTACTAAAGTTCTTTTTTTATCTGGACTGCGGCAACGTTGCAAATTTAGGGTTTTGGTTGGTAAATACAGTTGTCAAGTTGGTCGCATTGATTAAAACAAACTAAGCTAGTTATAAATCTAATTGTGGTTATGTATAAATTATTGTAGTTTACATTGTGCAGTTGTCAAGTTGAGTTGTCGAAATTCGTAGTTAAAAATGCAATTAATTTGGCTTTGGTGGTGCTTGGATGAGTAAAATCATATAAAAAAGTAGTTAAATATAGGTTGCTTTACGGCCCAGCTTCTAGAAGAGAAAGTATTCCTAGCGGATAATAATCTTCGCTTTGAAAAGAATTTATATAAAAGAAATAGCATTTTTTTCTGAACGTAAATGTTGTCCAATGGTGAATAATGTGAAAATAATGTGTGATATAATATTTATAAAACCAAATTCGTTACTTTTTTACTCCAAAAATGTCTTTAAGGCGATGTACTTTTTCTTCCATTGTGGCATTTGGCATAATTTCATAAAAATGAAGTTTTTCCCTCAAAAGGGCTTTTAAATTCGAATTCATTGCTATTATTTTTGGCATAATTATCTTTTTATTTATAATTGACAAGCAAATTATCGTAAGTAATATCATAAGGGCATTTAATTTTTCCGAAAAGAATCGAAAAAACACGTTGCTAAGTAATATTTTAACAAAAAGCATGAGTGCTGGTGGCAACAAAAATCCGAGTCGAAGAGGAGGATTTTTGCACCTGCACGAATGCATTTTGTTAAAAAATATTACTTAGCATTGTGTTTTTTCGATTTTTTTCACAGGAAAAATTAGATGCCCGAATGGTATTTGACAAGACTATTTCATGAGTAACAGTTAACAATTAAAATATAAATTGCAATTTTTGGTAACAACAGCTGTCAAGTTTTGCCGCGGGTTAACTCGAAAAAACTGCTGACAGGTGCTGTCACACAGTTTTTTCACCTAGAAACTATTTGTAATTCAAAATTGCGCGTTTGTGATTGGTATAAATTAATACGCGGGAAATAGTCAATAATAAATATTATTGTCAATTTGACAGTGTTTGCAGAAGTACCATTTTTAAATACTAAAAATACTAAAGGTGGATTCATGCAAGCATGTCTTAAATTAACTTAACTTAACTTTGTACCAATCTTGTACTAATCATTATCCCATGAAAATGAACCGTTCATACATGTACTATTATCTTAAGGATTTTACATGCGAATTACGATTAGTGACCAAAACCAAAAATGTTATTATTACTGCTTATCAGCGTTATATGTTTGGCGCCAATTCGCGTAAAATTTGTTAAACTGTTTGTTTAAATTTTTAACCCGTAAGTAGGTATTCTCATGGCGATTACATATAAAAATATAAAACAAACCCACAAAATACTAAATTTTCAAAAATGTAAAAACAATGAAAGTAGCTACATTAGACTATGAAGTTGGCTACATTACCAGTACATGCGCATTTGCCTATTTTTATTAAGAACTTAGGACATAAGGATCTTAAAGATAAAAGTAAACCAACTTTTCTTAGGATAAGGATTCAAATTAAGTTAGGTTAAGACGAATTTAAATTGCATGAACGGTTCCGCTCATTATTACAGTTTTATCTCTTTAAGATAAGGACAAAGACTAAGTTAGTATTAAGACATGCTTGCATGAATCCACGGTAAGTCAAACTGGCATAAGCCACCAACCTAACAAAAAGCACGAGTCCAGATAAAAAAAAAGTAACTGTATAACTTGTTTAAAAGTCCTTCAGTTAAATAGATACCAAAAATAAACATTTTTTTTAATGACCTAAACATTAAAAAAAATTTTTAATTACTTAAAATATTTTTTAGATTAAGGATAAGATTGTTGTATTAAATAGAATAAGGCAGCCTGAGAGTAACTCTATAGCATATTATCCCAAAGCATCTTGGAATGATAGTAGAAATCCTACAGAAGGAAAATTATCCAGAATAGATTTAGCCAATAGACAACAAGATAAAGATGACAATGTGAATGGTAAAAGAGGAACCCTTAAAACACCCAAGAGAGAAGCAGATGAAGATGAAAGTGGGTCTGTGCCTAATAAGAATGTCACAATCCGAAGCCTACCTTCTGGTGCAAACATGGCAGCTTTCAATGGACCAGATCAACAAATTAGAGATGATCCAAAAAAACGATTTCCAATCTTAGAAAAATTAGAAAAATTTAAAACAAAATATAAGAGTACAAAAAGGGAAAAGAAAACACATTATCTAGGAATTTACGTACTAGATATTTCACAACTTGTAGGTAAAAATTCATATGCCACCTGGTTACCACCAAAAAATATAAGCAATGGTCCAGAAGAAACAATATTGTACACTTTAGTTGAGGGGAAATCAGAATTAATTATGTTCGGCGGTATTCAGAAGGAAGCATCTTCAATGGGCTTTTCAACTAATTTAAGTAGCCAAATTTCCAATTCATTGCATTTTATTACTGCCCCTAGTTACGTTATTTAGAACCAAATTCTGTGTATATATATACTATGTATAGTATGTTCCAAAATGGATCTACTAATACATTTTTTTCATTATTACCATGAAAAAATTTCCAAAAAGGAATTTTTGCATATAATAATTTTAATAAGTAGTAAATCCATTTAAGGGCATGCAAAACAATTACAAAATAAGACCTATGGTCCAATTTTGGGTAACCTGTAAGCAAATCTGTAACTTTTATATAGGCATGCACATAATATCAAAAGCAATGTTTATTTACATATGGGTGATTCCACATCAGGCAGGTTTTAAGCCTCACCCCCTCTGATTTTGACGAAAATCGCTGAATGGGCTTCAAATGGGCCTAAATGGACCTGACTGCAAAAGTTTGAAAAAATTATAAAAATGTGGATTTTATGGGGGTTATACTTTTCAGATCAGAGATATATTGTTTTGCTTATATTTTGGGTCCTAATTGACCTAGAGAGCTGGTCGTCGTCTTATTTTAAAGAAGTTTAAATTTGAATATTTTTTAATAAAATATAAATGTAGTTTTTAAAATTTTATACACTGCCCGTCAAAATTATTGCATAATAAGTAAAAAAAATTTAACTCTAAAACGCATTTACCAATCTTTATGAAATTTTGTATAAAAATACTTCAACTTCAGTTTACGTGTTCGAGGGTTTTTGAAAAAAATATTTTTAAAGCCCTTTAATTAAATAATAAAAAAAAACGTTCTAAAAATAACTTAGAGATTTTTTTTAAGTAAATTAAAAATATGGTGTTAAAGACCGTATTTTTGTTAGTATATCCTAAAAATTTTGTACAAATCAAACGAACAGTAACAAAGATACAGCGCTTCAAAGTCGGTAAAAATTACCCCTTTTTTATTATTTTGCTGAAAAATGCTCATTTTTGACGACTTTGAAGCGCTGTATTTTCGTTACTGTTCGTTTGATTTGTACAACATTTTCAGGGTTTACTAACAAAAATGCGGTCTTACACAAGATATTTTTTATTTACTTAAAATACTATAATTTTTTTTGAGCGTTTTTTATTATTTATTAAAAGGGCTTTAAGGATACTTTCTCGAAAAAGCCTTGAACACGTAAACTGAGATATAAGTTAAATTATTTGTATTCAAAATTTTATAAAGATTGGTAAAGGCGTTTTATAGTAGGATTTATTTTACTTGTTATGCGTTAATTTTGACGCGCAGTGTATTTGCATGCTTATTTTTATACTTTTTTAAGTTACAGATTTGCTTACAGGTTACCCAGAATTGTACCATTAATCTTAAGATGAAATGGCCTCATACTTTGTGTGATGTTAGTGACAACTAGTAACTTTGAGATTACCAATCAAATACGACTTATACTTATTTACCATTTTATATTAGTATTCTCTTTGCAATATTTAAAATTAACTGTGAACATGTTTTGATTGATTAAACTCATATATCCTATAAACTGTTTTATTTTAAGGTTTTAAAATTATAAAATTAACAAGCAACGAACTTCTCATTTTTATTAAGTTGAATTGTTGACAAGACTAAAATTTTTAGTTTTTATTTTATAAACCCTAATTTTCTTTACTTTTGTTTTTTAAACTTCCAAAAACTTCTAATGGGATACTTTGCTTTTCAACTGGTATTTCTTCAGCTTCCTTTTCATCATCATTGTCTTCATCATCTTCATTGCCTATATCAATTTCATCAGGATTGATAACCTTATCTTTGTGATTGCCTTGGGTTTCACCCCTCACAAACATTATGTTTCCAGGTCTGGAACCAGCAGATGACCCTGTCATTTCAACAGCCTTTGCCTCTAAAAGCCTCATTCCATCCTTTACACCTGGAGCTAAATCAGCAACTGTTCCAGACACACTACTTGAAGAGCTTAACATTTGTGCTGACATCATATTGACTTGCGTGTTATACATGGCTTGTATACTTCGTTTAATCCTTAACATTTCTCTCATTGTATCTTCATTTCCATGGCGAACCTCAAATTCTTTCCATATCTGCCAGAATTCAGTGGTAACCCTTGGATCACAAATTTGACTGCAATGAGCATAAATGGCTCTAGCCCTATCTATTTCGCCCAACTTTGTTTCCATATCTGAAAATCGTATACACATTTCTCTTGTTCTGTCTTCTGGCAAAACCTCAATAGCCTTTTCATAAATCTGCCTTGTTTTGGGTATTCCATAAATTTCTGCTGCTCTTTTAATATAAATATTAAATACTTCAAACATTTCTTCAGGAAGGACAGCATTTGTTGCCCTTTCATAAACTGCCATAGCATGCCTTGCCATACCATGTTCTTCTTCCAATTTTGCATACAGTAAATATAGCGTTTTGGCAAATTGTGCTGGACAATTTTCAAGGCATTGTTCAAACAAATCGCGCGCTCTCTCCAACTTACTACCACCATATCTTTTCAAAAACTTTGTCAAATATGTATTCCAAATATCATAAACATTTGGCCATTTAAACAATGATATACCTTTTTCATAAGCGCGAAATGCTTCCTCAAAATAGTTATTTTCTTCCAAAAATACCCCATAATTAATAATGATTTGTGGAGTGGCAATTTTTAAATCAATAATTCTGTCATAAACAGCCTTACAGGATTTATAGGTTCCAAAACTTTCTTCCAAATCAGCATACATAGACCAAACTTTTAAAGATTTATACAGTCTTGCTTGCACAGACTCTGTGTCATCATGGTAAGCTACTTTTTTAGCTGGCATTACTGTTGCCTTGTGCATTAACTTTAATGCATCATCATAATTTTCATTACGAATTTCCATTTCAGTCCATTCGCACCACACATTTGCTAAATCATCTACTTTTACATAGGGAACTTGGGTCCCCTTTTCAAAAATCAATCTTGCATCATCAATTTGGACATTGCTTTCATAAAATTTTGCAAACTCAACCCATAATGTGTGTAGTTTCCCAACAGCCAATTTTGGGTCAACTGTTTGTACTGCTTCAGTATAAGTATTAATAATTTCATGGGGTTTTCCTTCATACAACTGCACTCTTTTATGCCATTCCTGAACATTGTGTGGGTTCTGCCTTAATAAAACTGAATTTAAAAGTAATAACCTTCTTTCCATTAAATTTTCAAATCGCGCTAGCCTTAACTCCAAATCAATATCATCACCTTCAGAAGGACTTGAAAGTTTGGCTATTTCTTCCATCCTTTTACTCAAACTTAATTCTTCAAATTGTGCATAGGCATCAAATACCTGAGTAAAATCACGTACTGTAGATACAGTTTGAATGGCTTCTTCATAAATATCCCGTGCTCTATCAAATAATCCACTCCTAACATAGTAATTAGCCAGGGAATTCCACAAATGTCCCAGCTGATCTGTGTACCTTCTCAAACCACCTCTTATAATAGCATCTACATTAAGAGATCTTACTTCATCAGGGTTTTTGGAAATTAGTTCACATAATTCATTCCAAAGCTGATGTTTGGATTTTCCTTGCTGAGAAAAAAAATTTTCATCATTAACGATTTTGGCCAATACCAATGAAGACTCATCCAGCCTCCCTATCTCAGTTAAATACTCTACATATTCTTCTGCATTTTCTGGGGATAATTTCAAATATCTTCTAAACACCCTAACAGCAGTTTCAGGAATGTCATGTTTCTTAATAAAACCCAAATAAAGAGGCCAAATCCTATGATGCTGGGTCACTGGTAAGGCGCGTAGAGCTCTGTCAAATACCTTTCGAGTTCTACTTATTTTTCCTTGGTCTGTTAAAAATGTACAATAATCCATCCATATTCTTGGCATTTTGTGCATAAATACTAAAGCTCTTTCAAATGCATTATTTACTTCTTCATACAAAGGGTCTGTCAGGCAACGAGGCTTAACCTGCTTTCTACGAGTCCTCAAGTAGTTATACCATAATTTATAAGAACCTGGCAATTCTTTTAAAGCCCTTTCATAAATTATATTAACGCCATGTTTGGGAGACTTTTTCTTATGATCTATGTAACGCAACCAATGTTTAACTGAGTATGGGTTTCTTAATATTTCCTCTTCATAGGGTAAATCATCATCAGTCTAAAATATTAATAAATTAGAGATAAATTTAAATAATAAACTAATAACTTACAAAAACAATTTCCATTGGTTCATCTGCATTTTTAATCGGCATTATTTATCGTTTTGACCCTAGGGTCTATAGGGGACAGAACAGGGGTTTGATTACGTTTGAACCACAGAACAAACGACACAAAGTTCTTCTTCTTCATTCAATCTGAACACAGAAGCACTGTGTTCAGGGGTAATGGCCTTTAGCTTATTTACAAGCTATTTGGCCAGCTCATTATGTTTTAAAATTTATTTAATATGATCAAGGGTCTCAATCAAGAGAATCTGAGTTCAACTCATCCCTTGAGTCATTTATCTATTATCTATATTCTTACTGTTTATGGTTTATTTCAATATTATTCGTTTTTCGTCTTATAAATTTAAGTTTCTTGCATTGTCTATATTTTTCCTTTTCCTTGTTTCTATAAGTATTTTTACCATTATTCTTGTTTTATGTATTTGTTCTTGACTTATTCCCATTCACATTATTAACAATTATCAAACCATACCTTTTACAAACATCCATATACCTAAATTTCTTCTTTCATCAATAATTCTATTCTTTCTTCAAATATTTCAGGAGTTCAATCAGTATTTTCATTTTATTTCATCCATATAACATTTTTTTTTTCATTTCAATCATGCATCAATGGCCAATGGCTGTGATCAGATTTATTTAAAAGTTGAAACGACACTTCAACATATTCGTGTATTGCCAACTTTTAACCTTTTGCTTCCACAAAGGAGCATATGCTCCTATATAGAACAATACAATCCCGTACGGGAATCTATAAACGGCACTACGGTTTTAGTATTGTTCATCTTTTACGGGAGGAAGGGAGGAAGGAAAGAAGACAATCTATAGATCAGGCTTTACAATATAATTACATTTAACTGGTTTAGTTTGTTTTAATCAATGCAACCAATTTTGGTTCCGCATTTACCAACCAAGCCCCTAAATTTGCAATGTTTCCGCAATCCAGATAAAAAAAGGTACTTTGAAGCTTACAAGTGCCTCTGTAATAATAATAATAATAATATATTTCTGATAATACCAAAAGTTTACATCGTCAATACACAATAGGCATGGTAATAAAAATATATCAAATTTAAAGTTAAAATTAAATTTAGAATAACCTAAAGTCGTTTTTTCGCGTAAATACTATGAAATACTACGGTTAAATAAGTCATGACGTCACAGTTAATTCATATAACCATGGTTAGGTTTCTAACATTTGACATTTGTTTACTTGTTCATAACCTATAATTTTTAAAATGTGTTTTTACCTATTTATATTTAATTTCTATGCTTTTACAGGTGTAAATAAATTTCTTTGCCTCTTCTTTTACCTTGTATATTCTTTTTCTATGAACCCTAGTTCTTATACCTACCTTTTCTATACCTCTTTTTATATATAAACAGTTCTTCACTGTTGTTTACCATAATTAAAATCCAACAGTGTTTAACGTTTATATGAAAATTATTATTGTGAAACTCAAAATTTAGAATGGAACCCCAAAGAAAAAGACGAAGGTTGGCGGTATGTTTTGGAGAAGATATGTTTAGCACACAACATTATTCCTACATAAACATATTAAATATATATATATTAAAAAGAGAAAGACTATTAACCACGTTGAATAACTAGCTAAGCGATATAGTTTTATGGTCTGGTATTTGTGACGTCATAGTTAGGATTTTTGAACGCACTCTAAACGCAAAAATGCCTTAACTATTAACCAAGGTTAAGTTTAATGACCATAGTATTTCATGGTATTTACGCGAAAAAACGACTTAACTAAAAGTAAAATTACATAAATGCTAAGCACTATAAACATTACACATTACACATTATTAAGGAACACAACGTTTAAAATAATTATTAAACAGCACAAACCGAAAGCACAAGAATTGTAAACATCAAAAATGGCCGCCGTTAAACTCTGCAGTGACTTTTCATATACCCATTAGGGTGGGCCGAAAAACGTAAAAAAAAAAAATATTTGAGATATTTATTTTTGGGTAGCAATAAAAAGTTACCTTATGTTAAAAGTAATTTATTAGAAAAAAATGTAGCGTACTAGCCCATTATTTAAGGGTCCCCCGGGGGCCCAAAATATTTTTTTTGTATGTTTTGACTGGGGTGGGAACAAAAAGTTACCTTATGTTAACAGTAATTCTAGAAAAAAAATGAGCGTACTAGCCCAATATTTAATTGCCTCCGGGGCACCCTTAAGGGTGCCCCGGAGGCCCAAAATATTTATTTTTATCATATTTTAATTGGGGTAACCACAAAAGTTACCTTATATTAACAGTAATTCTAAAAAAAAAGCGTACTAGCCCAAAATTTAAGGGTGCCCCGGAGGCCCAAAATATATTTTTTGTTCATATTTTAATTGGGGTAACCACAAAAAGTAACCTCATGTTAACAGTATGTTTAGAAAAAAATAGCCATTCTAGCCCAATATTTAAGGGTGCCCTGGGGGGCCTAAATTTGTTTATATATATTTTAATTGAGGTGACAACAAAAAGTTACCCCATGTATTATTGCATAGACAAACCAAATGCCGGTATCAGTCTAAGTTTTTTTTATTATTTTATTAAGACGCCTTTTGATGAAAAAAATTAGCAACTCTTAGCTTGATTTTATTAAATTTAAAAAAGATTTTGCGTTACTCTAAATTAATTAACACAACCACTATCGAAATAAATAAAGTCTTAAAAGAAGTAAATGCTTGGTCAGTTAATCATAGACTTCAGTTAAATGCCAAAAAGAGTCTTGTAATAAATATTGGTACAGTATATATGATAAATAAAAACAATATAATTTTAATACCGAACATATAAATAATATAGAAATACCTCAGCAAGAAACAGCAAGAAATCTGGGTGTTATTTTTTATACAAACGCCATGTTACAAGACAACTTAGTTTGTGTTATATGAAGCTGAAATTAATATATATTAATTTAAGTATGTTCTAAATTCTAACACCAAGTGCAAAATTGTTTCAACATTAATATACACCCTATTATAGTAGACTGGCATGCAATATATTGCATGCCAGTCTACTACTCATATCATACTGAAACATTTAAAAATAAACTCATGTATTAGATTCATATATTTAGTCGGAAAATTTGACCCAATTACTTCAATCTATTTGGAAAACAAGCATTTAAAAATAATTGATCCTTACAAGCATAATTTTGGAAAATTAGTGCAGAAAGTAAATACCTAATAATTGCCTGAATATCTATTCAACAACTTTATTCAAAGATCTAATAAACACAATCTTGATTTAAGACACAATCTTTTTCAAATACCTAGTCACAAAACTTCAAAATCTAAGGATTCGTTTATAGACCTATCTATAGAACTTTTGAACAATAAAACATTCTTTAACATAATATTTAAATATCCAAACACATTTAATTTAGAGTACAAAAATTTGTTATTAACTGGTGTGATATGAAATTATAGGATTTAGTTTAATTAATATGTAATATGCAGAATAAAATAGATTTAATTTCTTAGTAGGTGGTATGGAAGAACGTCCTTACGAAAGCAGCCTTTTGTGTAATTAATTTTGTGTTTTACGCAATAAAGCATTTTTATTATTATTATTATTATTATTATTAATTAATTGGATATTTGCTCCTCGAGTTAGACTTGTTGTCATATATTCCGGTAGAGATGTCCGCGCATCTATATATAACCATTTCTTGCTACCTCACAGCAAATTTTTAATGCAGCTTCTGTTACAAGCTTCACAAACTTTTTCACCGCTTGCGTGTGAAAGGGAAACTTGCCGAACCTTATATAGAAGTCGTCTGCTCGACTTATAAATATTTTTAGTTCTTTTATTTAAAAAAAACATTTCCAAATTTATAAACATTTTTAACCCTAGAATTTGCTAAACCGCCAATTTTTTTACGTCAAACTCTAATATGGGACATTTTTTTGTAAAAATATTGTTAACATAAGGTAACTTTTTGTGGCTACCCCAATTAATATATAAAAAAAAAATATTGGGCCCCCGGGGCACCCTTAAATATTGGGCTAGTACGCTAATTTTTTTTCTACAATTCTTGTCAACATAATGTAACTTTTTGTTGCCACCCCAAACAAAATATAATAAAATAATATTTTGGGCGCCCAGGGGGGGCCTTAAATATTGGGCTAGTACGCTAATTTTTTTTTTACAAACTACTTTTGGCCTAAGGTAAATTTTTTTTGCTACCCCTAAATTGAATTCAAAAAATAATTTTTTCGGCCCACCCTAATACCCATACCCCTAGACCCTAGGCCCATACCTAACTATAAGTTATAGCCTATAACTTATAGGTATATGTGATTTTTAGTATTTTTAGAATAGATAGAACAGACCTTGTTATGTGGATTGTGGGTAGGATCACAATCCACACAACAAGGTCGGTTCTATCTTGTACTAAAAATACAAAAAATGACTGCAACACTGCACAGTTTAACGGCGGCCATTTTTGTTGTTTACAATTTTTGTGCTTTGGGTTTGTGCTCTGTTTGTACAGATTAATAATAGTTTTAAACGTTGTGATTCTCATAGTAAGCCTTAAAAGAGGCCTTAAAAGTGCTAAGAACAACCATTTTACTCCTCTATTGTAAAAAATAAACTTTATTCTATCAGGGCTGTCATAAAACTGTCAAATGTCAATTTTAAGGTTAAATTATAACCCACAAACTAACCTTCAAATTGGCATTTGACAGCCCTGATAGAATAAGGTATATTTTTATTATACAAGAGGAGTAAAATGGTTGTCCTTAGCACTTAGAGGCCTTATTTGAGGCTTACAAGTGCCTCTGTAAGAAACACAACGTTTAAAACAATTATTAAACAGCAAAACCCAAAGCACAAGAATTTTAAACAACAAAAATGGCCGCCGTTAAACTCTGTGCAGTGTTGCAGACTGCAACTTGCAGTGATTTTTAGTATTTTTAGCATAAGATAGAACAGACCTTGTTGTGTGGATTGTGGGTAGGATGCAGGGTTCCAGTACACAATAGCACACTCTTAAATTCCAATTTTTATTGGAAATTTTCGACACAAATGGATATAAAACCACATTTTAAGCATATTTAGGTGCGGAAAAACCAAACTTTCGCTAAAATATATGTTTATAGTGTTAAATTTAACGAACCTTGCTTAAAACTGTCACCTTTTCTATGTACAGCACTGAATTTTAAACTGTCACAATTTAAAATGACAGAATTAGTGTTTTAAGGTTGGTTATCATGTATTTCAATGTTGTCAGGTTTAAAATTGGCAAAAGTATTACATTATTTTGTAATTGAAAATGTATATTGTATAAAAATAAATTCCGAAATATGCTAAACATTAAAGGAAATATTGAAATTACGGAAGTATGAGCAAAATAAGTATGGGAATAATAATATAATATTATCTTAATTAACGGTACCTATGTAGGCAACCCAGATAACAACATATTTCAATTTAATATATTATCATTTAACTAAATACTTTAAATAATTTTAATTTAAATACTTATACATGTAATTATTAAAATAAATTATTTATATTAGGTATTGGATTAATTTTTGCACTTAATTTAATTTTATAATTTGAAAATTTTGTTTTTAAACAAAATTTGTTATTATTGCAGTTGTCATTTAATTGATATAGGTACCTTTTAAGTAGTGTAAATTTATTTGTGCTATTTGCTACTTATTTCAAAATGAATAGGTATTCAAAACATTAATAATGTTTATAAGCTTACATCTAAGCCAGATGGAGAGTTAATAACTGCATTACAGCAGGCTGGACTTGTAAAAGCCCAGTTACGCTGCAAGGTGAGGAACTGTAGGAGAATTTGCATTTTAAGACCCAGAGCTGGAGTATATAACCTGGACCACGCCTTTTTAATAATAATAATAATAAAAATAATAATAATAATGTCCTCACGGGTAGTTTTTTCGACACAATAAAAGTATCTGTCCGCGACGTAATCCACATTATGTGGTATTGGGCTTGCGAGGTCAGGACTGGCCTCGTCGCCTAAATTATGGGTACGCGTCGTGGTCGAAATATCCCTAATATACCGATAGGTTTGAACAATCCGCCCACTACGAGTACCCATAATTTGGGCGACGGGGCCTTTCCTGACCTCGCAAGCCCAATACCACATAATGTGGATTACGTCGCGCACAGATTAATTTTTTCCTGGAAGCCTATGCGGGATCTGTTTTTGCTGGGTAAGTAAAATTTATTTTATTATATTCTTCGTTGTCCGAGTCACATTATCAGAATCGACCAATTAGAACGAGTTATCACGCGTCTGGGAGTTTTTGTTTGACCAAGCCCGGCTCGCTTCGATCGGCATTTATTTAATTTGATTACATTTATAAAGAGCCTAGGCGGACTTGGTCAGTGCCTGAGCCCAATTTTGCGCGCGCAAAATTGGGCTCAGGCACTGACCAAGCCCGCCTCGCTTCGCTCGGCATTTATAATAAATGATTTATTAAATTTAATTACGTTTACAAAGAGCCTAGGCGGGCTTGGTTAGTGCCTGAGCCCAATTTTGCGCGCGCGAAATTGGGCTCAGGCACTAACCAACGTTTACGTTTACGTTTACAAAGAGCCTAGGCGGGCTTGGTTAGTGCCTGAGCCCAATTTTGCGCGCGCGAAATTGGGCTCAGGCACTAACCAAGCCCGCCTCGCTTCGCTCGGCATTTATTTAATTTAATTACGTTTACAAAGAACCTAGGCGGGCTTGGTCAGTGCCTGAGCACAATTTTGCGCGCGCGAATTTGGACTCAGGGACTGACCAAGCCCGGCTCGCTTCGCTCGGCATTTATAATAAATGATTTATTAAATTTAATTACGTTTACAAAGAGCCTAGGCGGGCTTGGTCAGTTCCTTAGCCCAATTAAACGCGCGCCAAATCGGGCTCAGGCACTAAACAAGTCCGCCTCGCTTCGCTCGGCATTTATTTAATATGATTACGTGTGCCAATACTTTGTAAAAACTGATAGACTTTACAAGATGCCTAGGCGGGCTTGATCTGTGCCTAAGCACATTTCATATAAGTTTTTGATACCTATTGAATTTATTTTATTTTTAATAACAAATATCTTAGTAACAACAACTCACATGAAAAAACTTTATTTGACTTTTTGGTTTATCCTTACAAGCTCTTCATATTAGACCTTAAAAAAATTAACATTTTTTAATTTTGCAAAATCTACAATTGTATTTTTTTTGCGCACCATGTTTGACAAAATAGGAGTTTCTCATCTTAAATGGTATTTATATAACAAGCAAAAGAAATTATGAAGAGTGACTTTTCCTCGAAAAATTGAAAATAAATATTTTTACAAGTATAGTGCATCCGTGGACACACTGTATATAAATATATATATATATATATCATATATAGAATTAAAACGGCCATTTCAATCACGCGGACGGAACAAATAACAAAACTTTTATAAAAAAATTGAAGGTAATTTATTATATATTATTTTGGCATCAAAATTGTCAAAAAAAATGTTTTATATAAGGCTATAGCCTATATACATTAAATAAAAGAAATGCAAGAAATATTTTATAAAACGAGATAATTTTTTTAATAATGTACAGTCGTGGACGAAACAAAAAAATATTTCATGTATTAAAGTTCTCTAAAAAATAAAAGGTATAAAATGTATGTATGTATGTAATTAGGAATAATTTCATGTAATCTGGGTTGCATAATAAATTTCCCCAAACAGCGTAAAAATTTTATATCTGGCAACATTGCGATGAATTTCTTTGAATCTGACATTTCTTGACAGTTCTTGTCAAAAAATCTGTCAAAAAAAGCATTTTCAAACTTAATTTTCTCAAAAACTAGTGAAAAACCCGCAATTTTTATTTATGAAATTTACTATTTAAAACGTCCTTTTTCAAATGGTAAATTTTTTTTTTGGAAATTCAGAGTGTGCTATAGTGTTCTGGACCCGGATGCAGTGTTACCAGCATAGACAAAATCTTTCTGAGAAAGAAATATCGAAAATATATCAACATCCTACTAGGATGTTGATATTTTGACATCGCAGCATTGGCAACACTTCTACTGTTATTTATTTATCAAACTCCTAGGTCTAGGATCAAACTCTTCAAATAGAGTTGCTGTAATGTCTTTTTGAATTTTTACTTATAATATAAAGTAATTTTGTGTCACAATGGAAAATACAAACCTACAAGTTTATAAGAAAATTAAAAACAAAAGGAACAAATGTGTGGCTAAACAAACTAATATTTCCATGAGCAAGTCAAATACAAGTGAATTAGTTGAAGTTAAAAAGAAACTAGTTAGAGTTGAGTATCCAGGAATTGTTAAAAACCTCAGTAAAGCTCTTGAAACATTAGGAGGAAATCTGGCATTAGAATTGGTTTGTATTAAAAAATAAGTTTTTATTTATTAATTACCCTGCTTAAAATACCCCATAGAGACCCTGTTCAAACTGATAGATATTTGTATCGGAATGTATGGTGTTTCTATAGGGTGTATCTGTATGTATAGGACCCCTAGTTGGGATTTATGGTTGTTCTATAGGGATATCCACCCTTGATTTATTTGCTATTGGTTTCAATGGGGAAAATACACATAAGTAAATGTAGAAATCAGTTTTTCCCCCATAGGACCCCATAGGTTTTAATAAAATTTTGTCAAATGTTTTATGGTTGTTCTATAGGGTTATCCCTATATATCCTTCATTGAGTTATTTGCTATCAGTCTCAATAGGGAAAATGTAAAAGTTATGGTGTGCCTATAGGTAATTTCTAATACATTTTTTATCGGGCCGTATCCGGAAAAAACCATGAACAAATGCACATATTGAATCCAGTAGCGCCCAATAGATTATTTTATATAGGTCTCTATGGGGTATTTTAAGCAGGGTAGGTTAATATGATAAAATAAAAAGTAGGTAGTACAATGGATCCATGACAAGACTATGGTTTTATTTAATTATAATTAAAAGCTGTTTTCCAGACTATTTTTATGGGCAATAACAAAAATCTGTTTGATCAAGCCTTAAAATAGAAACTAGTACCTAGTCCTAAAAACTCTTGGTCTGCTATTTAATCAGATTTTTAAACAGTTATGGAATGGTTTGGAAGTTCCAAATTGGAACTGTTCAAATTAGTTATTGGGTGAAAGCAAATATTTTCAGGTCCATCTGTTGGTGAATACTGACTGTTAATAAAATTATAATAAAGGTTTTTTAAATATATATATATATATATATATAGGTGATATTTTGGACAGCAAACTGTGATTTCACAACCATTTTGATAAAATGGTTGCGGAAGCAAACAGGATGTTGGGTTTCTTACTGCGCACGACTGTCGATTTTAGGGAATTGGCTCTATTTACATCCCTGGTACGCTCTAAACTAGAATATGCTTCTACGATTTGGTCTCCAGTTTATAATGTTCACATTAATAGGTTGGAGGCCATTCAGAATAAATTTATCCGTTACATGCGTTATAAGCTGTCTCTTCCACTAAGCACTGATCAAACAAGGCAGTATTTGGGGCTTAAAACACTTACACAGAGAAGAAAAGATATTGATGCAACATTTTTTTATAAAGTGATTAATAATTTCATTGTAGACCCTGAGATACTGGCTTGTTTTTTATGCAAATTCCTATAAGTCTTGAGAAAGTATCCCCTTTTACAAGTTCCATTATTTCATACTGTGTATGCTAGCAATTCGCCTATATGTCGTGTGACTAAGACTGTTAATGAGATGTCTGAGTGTAACTTTTTTGGCATTTCAATGCGTACTTTTAGACGCCAATTAAATCGAATGTGATACTACATAATTTATATTTATTTTGAGTTATTTATTTTATTGGGGGTTGTTTTTTTATGTACCTGTAAACTAATATATTGTTACTGCTATTATTTGCGTTAATAAAGAAATTATTATATATATATATATATATATATATATATATATATATATATATATATATATATATATAGGGTACCTATCTCGATTTCAAATTATTTTGATGTTTCAGTTTTTGTTTTTATTTTTGCTTTATATTTGTCTATGCTTATTTTAGATAGTCTTATAAGTTTTAGTGGTATGTATTTTTGTCATCTCTTCTATATCATCTCTTCATATAATTTTGTCAAATGCTTGTTTCAAGTGTAAAGATGTGGAGTTCTATATTGTGTTCGTAGCTTTTTTCTCGTATCTGAGTCATTACGTGAATTGCATCTGTTGATTTTCTTTTTCTGGGTGTACCCATTCTGATTTCCCCAATTTCTTGTTCTGTGTATTTTGCCAGTGTTAATCTTATTATGTTTGTTAATATCTTATATGCGGTGTTCAGTAACATGATTCCTCTGTAGTTTTTGCAGTCTGTTTGATTTCCTTCTTTGTGTATTGGAGTTAATAGGCCTGTTCTCCATTCTAATGGCATAGTTTTTGGGTCCATATCTCTGTTATTAAATTGTGTAGTCATTTAAGAAGTGTCTCCCCTGCTTGCTCTATTAGTTCGTTATTGATTTAGTCTGGTCCATATGTTTGGTTTTTGTTAAGGTGTGTTATTACTTTCTTGAATTCTTTGTATGTTGGTGGTCTTTCTTCGTTGTTGTTGTTTATTATTTCTTCTTCAATTTCTGCCCTTTGTTTGTTTTCATTTTTCCTATATAGTTTCCTTAAGTGTGCCTCCCAGTCTTTTTCATCTATTTTTGCGGTTGGTTTCTTTATTTTGTATAGATTTTTTATAGTATTGTACATTTTTTTGGTGTATTTATTATTTTCTATTTCAGTCATTATTTTGTTAACTGACAATAAAATTCATTAATATTAGAACCAATAAAATGCCAGTATTCCATAGTTTCCACATTTTATCACAGAAACAATATTTTTTATCTACTCCTATTGCATTATTTTAGATTTTTTCCGTGAATATTGATAAACATTATAAATTTCCGATTCAATATTCACTGTGATTTGAACCATTTGGGTTTTAAATTGGAAGAAGGCGACTATACCGAGGGGTCACCCACACCTGGGAATCCCTGGACATTTTAGAGGGGGAATACCATAGGAATACAATGGAAATACATAGGAATACAATAAAATATAATGGGAATACATGAGAATCCCTGGACGTTTTCCCTTTGGGTGGTTGACCCCTCGGACTATACCTAATTACATATAAAAAGTAAGGTGAACCATTTGACAGATGTCAGATTTTATTTATTTAATTTTTAATAGTATATTCTCAGAATATTATTCTGTAACTAGTTTGGAATTCAGCATATTCCGCTCGAGTGAAGAGTTTGTCACACGAGCCGAAGGCGAGTTTGACGGTTTCACGAGAGCGGAATATGCAATTTCAAACGTGTTTCAGAGTATACTTTTTCTACGTTTACAAAAAATACCATAGAAAAATAATTTAATTGGAAAAAAGTGAGGTTGGATCAGTCTAAAATTTGTTAGATATTAAAAACAGAGATGTCGCCACGAGTGTTTATTCTGTCATCCGATGATAGAATATTTTATTCTGTAACACTTTACGGAATATATGTCATTCCATAGATAAAAGTGATATTAGAACGGTCAAATTCCGTAATAGGAGTAGAAAAAAACATTTAATGTAGTATATTATTACACTCTAGATGCGCATTATTTACTGACTCGAGATGCAAACCAGGTTTCACCCCATTCTCAGGAATAATTGTCTGCATTATCTCTCGTATAATAATATACTATTATCTCCTAAGGATTTTGACACTTTTCATTTGACATTTGTTCACATTTAGGTTAATCCTGTCACAGGATCCTGTGTTTTTTAAATGATTTAAATCATGAATTAAAAAATCTATGATTGATGGGTTGGTGTAAACGATAATGAAATTAAGGCAAGTGATATTTATATAATTTGCGCATGCGTATGAGCCCTGCGAACTGCGAATTTATAACCTCATTTGTTATTCACATTACACCGTTATAATTTATAAAATGTTGTTTGAATATCACGAATGTTTTCCGGGTTCAATTAAAAAAGATATTACAATGTTTAACAAAACGTGAACGTTTTGTTAAACATTGGAATATCTTTTTTCATTGAACCCGGACAACATTCGTGATATTCATACGAACATCATGTCGTGATTTTCACAAATTTTATTCATACTGATATCATACGGAAGTCACCGCAAAAAAATATTGAATGTATTTAACCACAAAAACTGTTGATTCAATATATATGTAGGTAAAGTGACCACATCAAAAATGTCAAAATCCGGGACAAAGGGAAAAAAATACGCCAAAAGCGGAAAATTCCGCGGCAGGCGCATTTTGCCGATACGAAAGCAAAAATAATTTTAAGAAAAAAGGGGGGAGGTCGAGAAAACAGAAAATTGTTTACATAATTCATCATTTAAATAATATAATATGCACATTATTCCAAAATGCAGAATATTATATATACCTAAATAAGTATATACAGTAGGGTGTTGAAAAATTAATAGTACCTACATTAAAAACAAAAATGTTGGCGCCTATTTTAGCCCTTAATAATAATATTAAGGTTTGCCTTAATTCATTTGTTGTTTTTCCATTTCAATTACACAGGAATTTTTATTTTTTTAATTTTGAATTCTTATAACTTTGAAATGGTTTGTTTTCGCAACACCCAGCGAGAGGAGTTATAGACAATTATAGACAATTTTACGCTCTACAAAAAACATCTGAAGGTCAAAGTTCTTCAGATCAACCGTTTCAAAGAAATCAGCGATCAAAAATAACACTAATAAAAAATTTCAAATATTTTCAAATAAAATACAAAAAAATATCATAAAAAATAATATAAATGTAGCGTATGATATTATTTTGTATTTTATTTGAAAATATTTGAAATTTTTTATTAGTGTTATTTTTGATCGCTAATATCTTTGAAACGGTCGATCTGAAGAACTTTGACCTTCAGATGTTTTTTGTAGAGCGTGAAATTGTCTATAACTTATAAAGATTTATACATTTTTAACGCCTAAACATAATAATATTTCTTTCGTTGACTATATTTTGACAGATACATAACATGAAAAGCCTTAAATGCCAAATTTTCAAAAGACTGCCTTCCGTACGTAGTCACGTGGTGGGACTTTGAGGTGTGGAGCATAGTACAAGTTATCACTATTCTTGTCATTTTGACAGCAAAAGCAGAAATGGTCATTATTGTATCTTTGCTATTTACAGAATTTTGAATGTTTAAATTTCCTACAATTCCAGGCTTATATATATATATATATATATTGTAATTAGATTTACCTATTTTTCATATTTATTATGTATGCAGGTATAATAGATAGTATGTTTTGTAAGCTATGTGTATGCAGAATAACTGTTACTCATGAAATAGT